TAAATAAAAATTTCTTGTGTTCATATGTGCACAAATTTTTTTTTGCAGATCATAAGATCGACGAATTTCCAACACTGATCGTCATGCATATTTGATTCAAAATGACCAAATTGTTTAATAAGGAAAAAAATTAAATACAAATGAGATTAATCGGTATGTTTATTATATTAATATGTAAATTTATTTACATTTTTAATTTTTTTCTAAATTTTCAAAATATTCAAAAAACGTTAAATACTGTTGTAATTGCTACATCAAATGCCAACACCAGTTGGCTACATAAGAGCAAAATTTAAAGCAGAATTAAATTCTACCATTATAACAATAATCTCTCTGCATGGTGAACATATTTACATTTTATAGAAAGGTGATCCTATGGAAAAATATTTTTGTAAAGTAAACGAGTAAAAAAAACAAGTCGTCTAGTGAAGAACATGTTGAACCATCCAAAAATCATGCAGACCTAGCTGAGAATAATTTGATAGGGGTGATTAATTAATCTTGTCAATTTGTATTTGAAAATGAAATTGAACTTAGAAAGTAATTGCTTACCAAAACAAGTCAGAAGGGAAAAACTAAATCCTTATTGAATTCTACGTGGAGATACTGAATAATTAAAAGTTTATTATGAAACAAAAAACGAAAATAAAACACTTTTGATATCGATGTGTTTAGATAAAGTAATACAATACTAATAATATCAAGCTTTTTTATTAAAATACCCATTTGTGAATTTTATTTTAACTGTGCTGTTGGATAAAGAATTTATATTTATAAATGCAAATAATTAGTAAGAATACAAAACAGCGTATAATAAAAATAATATCCTTTTTATTCAATTATTGGAATTACTGACAAATTCTTAGCAGGAAATAATATTTTCTTTATAAAACCTTTTAATTTGTAAATTCTTCTTTTTCCTTTAATTTTCTTAAATGTTTACCAACAATTTGTAAAACTCTAAAAGGTAATTCGATAATCAAATGGATGAATTAATGAACAGAAAAGAATTGTAATCGAGTAAGTTTCATTATATATCACACTTACTCGTCAATATTTCTTTCTCCAGGAAATAATTCAAGTTTTTTGCCATCACCTTTAATTTGGTTAATATTTAATGTAATAATCAGATGGAATCTTAACATTGCTATTATTATTATTAATATAGATTTATATCAAACATACGATAAGTCACACTTATTTGTGGTTCCTCATTTACATCAGTTAATAAAGTTGTATTTATAACAATCTTTGGGTTTTCTTCAGATAATTTATTGTTCATAACACGAGCAAGGAATATTCTAATGATTAAATAGAACAAGAATTATTATTATCGCATTCTTTTATTCGTTATTACTATTAAATTGCTTACCTAGTAGCTTTAGAAGAAGGTGAAAATGGTGAAAATTTCAAGTTTATTTGATTAATATATTTTAGATAAACCTTGTTTTTCATTATTAATATTTATAAATTTAAAATTTTTTTCGATAATCTCATTTTTATTTAGTAAATAAATCATTAAATTTTTTTTTTGAAAAATGAATTATCTTTTAAGAACTTTATATCATCAATCACATTCTAAACCATTATTATTGTTAAATTGTCATAAAACCTTTATTAATAGAAGTATTATTATTAATTACAAATGTATTATTAACCATCATAAAAATTTTATTAGAAATTTTAGTAGTGATGCTGTTAGTAGTAATAAAAATGATGAAAGTTTAAAAATAAACCTTCATAATTTGTGGTTGATCTATGTTGGACCTATGAGTAGAAATATGATACTTTATAAAAGAATGTCCCTAGTATTTGCTGCTGCAGGATTAATGACAATACCATTAATATTTTATTATGGAAGAGCACCAACGTTAGGAGGACTTGCTGGTAATGATTTAACAAACTATTATTTTCCAAAGTCACATTTTATTATTTAATTTATTATTTTATTCTCTTGAACAGTGTTAGCCTCAATCATTCCACTTGTGTTTATAAATCATGTAAGCGCAACATATGTCACTCGTCTATGCCTTTATCTACCAACGTTCAAGAAAAGCAAGTTAAATAATACAGATGTTTTTGATCCATACAAATTGGATAAATCAGGAAATCCATCTCTTTACTTTGAAACTTTGGGTTTTTTTGGTAATAGAGTCAAAACTTTAATAAAATTGAACGAATTAGTTGACGTCTCAAGAGATTACAAATTTCAATATATTACTTGGAAAGTAAATAATAATAATAATAGCAGTAACAAAACAAAATTTTACATAGAGAAAAGTTTATTAAGACCTGAACCATTTACAAATGGATTAGTTCAATGGATAGAGAAATCATCATCATCATCATCATCATCATCATCATCATCACAATCACCACCACCACCACCATTACCATCATCAATGTCAACGTCAAACAAATCAACAATAACTCGGTTAATTGATTGATCAATTCAAAAAAAAAAAAACAACTACTTAATAAATTAGTAACTTGGTAATTGTTGGATAAATCATTATTATTACAATTATCTTTATCAGAATAATAAAATTTCTTCAATGATCAATATTTTTCTATTTAATACAAAGAAAATATTATAAAAAGAAAATCAGAAATTAACTCAAATCAAATTAATAATCAAGTTTGTATGGAGGGAAATCGAACCATTTTAAAAGGTATTCTCTGTGATTAATTGTTTCTTGTATTTTCAATGGATCAGTTAATTCACTTTTCTTAATAAAGGCAGACTTCAATTTTAGTTTAAAGTAATTGTAACCTAATGGATAATCTCCTTCTGCATATGATAACTATAAAAAAAAAATTTTCCAATAATTATTAATTTAAATAAATCTTTTACTTTATATTTTTAATATATATCTACTGTTTCTGATGTCAAATGTATTGAGGACAGTTCATGAGATAGCATTTTTAAAAAAAAATCCTGAAGGATTCCTGGAATAATGAAAGAACGAACAAATTCATTTTAAATAAATACGGGTTTTTATTTTGGAATGATTTATCTTTTTTTCCTTGTCACCAATTGAAATCCTTCTTCATCGATAATTGGTTCCCTTGACATCTTCTGTTTACCACTACTACCACTATCATTATTGCTACTATTTTTATTATCATCATCAATTTCCATAATATCATTATCTTCTATTTCCTCCTCCCCTTCATCATCACTATCAGTAGTATCATCATCATCATCTTGTTGGTTTTTGATTTTTGTTGATGGATTTATATGGTTAGAAGACTGTTTTGATTTTAATAATTCAACTGTTGTGAAGTTTTCATTTATGCATTCATTATATAATTTTACAAAATCCTTTGATACCTTTTTTCCCCACACAAAAAAGAGAAATTTAAATTAATATATTAGGTGAAAAACATTCCTTTATTTTTTTATTTATTTTCATCTACCTGATATGCCGAATCATCTTCTAATAGAGTATCAAATTCATCCATCATAACTTGTGTCAAAATCATTTCTAAATCTTCAATATCGGCATTTTTATGATCTATGTATTATTTATTTATAAAATTGTCAACTGATCAAAACAAATAACATACTTTATAAAATATAAAAAAAAAATCTTTACTTTTTTCGAAATAATCTACAATTTCACCAATAAGCCATTCTTGTTTATCCTCAGAGTCAACACCACCCCATTGATGATCAACTGCCAACTTTAAAGCTGTCCATTTAAAACAAATTAATTTTATTCCTAAACAAAAATTTTCTTTAATCAGCGATGACGATGATGGCAATGATGATGATGAATGGTTGTTTATAGAAGATGCCATTTTTGAAGACTTTTTTTATTAAATTTACAGATTTAAATCGAAATTTTTATATCTCGTGTAACGAAAATTTAATTTGATGATCCGTTCGACCTATAGATTTTTATCTACTTCTATCACGAATTATTGATTATATTATTGATAGTAGTATTTTTAAGGAATGACAAAATCAAAATTTTGGTAGAATTGATAATTTCAGCTCATATTCCATCAACTTGCTTCTAAAATTAATTGGTCCACTTTTTCTTTTATAAATGATAAAAATAGAAATAAACCATTGACACCTGAATTTGTTTTAAATTGGTATATATTTATTTTAATTACAAATTAAAATGTCCAAAGAATAACAACAATGATAATATAGATATTACAATTGATGATGATGGAAATATGGGAACAATTGGAATAGAAAATGGTGAAGAAGAAGGTGGTGGTAGTGATAACAATATTGAAAATTGTATTTATATGTTTATTTTTATATGTTTTTTAGATATATATATTTTTTTTAAAAGAAAAAACTACTTAAAAAAATTAAAATTTCTTATTGTGACGTAAATAATTAATCCGAGTGATATTAACCAATGAAAATCATTCATGCAAAATTTCAATTTTTTATTATTTTGGAATAATAATTCGTTTCTTTCTAAAAAATTTCTTTCTTTCGTCAGGACTGATTAGATCGACAAGAGGATTGATTTCACCAACATTACTTTGAATTAGAACAAAATTTCAAAAGGTTAAGGTCCAGAGACAATTAAATTGTCTAACATATCATAATATAATGCTAATAATAACGCATTATTTTATTATTTATTTTATTATTATTATGGTTTAGGATGAGAAAGATTTTGAGAAAAGTAATAAAAATTGACATATATAAACGTAAAATAACAAAATAAATTGAATGTTGAATGTTTAATTAATATATTTCAAAAAAAAAAAAAGATTAAAGCGGCTAAATTTACTAAAAAATTAATACATGAGCAATATTTAACCATAGTAAAGTCATTGAACGTACAGTAACAACCGTTTTTACAATAACTTTCCTAGTATTTTATTAATATTTTTAAACCTGTTGTAAAAACGGTTATTATACTCAATGCTTTCACTATGTGAATCTTTATGATTTACATTTTTTCTGCCGATGTCAACAAAGTAAAGGACCTTTTGATTTTGTGTCAAAATTGACAATGATGTGTATATTGTTAAAAAATACAAGATTTCAATCAGAAATAATTTTAAAAAAACTTATTTATTTAACAATATTTAAAAACTCTAAGATTTTAAATTCGGCCAAATGGTGACTATAGACGGATATCACGCACTAAGTTTGAGATAGCTTGTTATTATGTAATTGGCTGGCGCTTGTGAACTTTATTGTAACGGAACGGTTAAATGCTGTACTTACGCGCCACTAAATGTATTATCATACCCTGACTGGATTTAAGGCGACTATTCCGAAATTATGTAATGAGCCATAAAACAGTGGTTATCTCCTGAGCCATGTAAGCTCCGGAGACTGTATATTCATATACGTAAAATTTTGTTTGACGCGCGTTCAATTGCAAGTATAAGTAGAAATAAATGTCCAAATATTACATTATTATGAATATTTACAGATTTTTGATCACTTAGGTATGTCTTTTATAGTAAAATTATTTATTTAAAATATTAAAAATTTTCTTTTACATTTATTCCTATATACATGCAAATAATGTAAGCATTTATTTAACGAATTTTTATAGAATATTTCTCTTTTTAAAAAAATTATAAATTCTAACTTGCATAACTCATATAAACCACATATACCATTTCATAAATTTATACATCAGATTTGCCAAATAAAAATCGAAATTGAAAATCAAAACGAAACGACAACGACAGCGACAATGACAACGACGCCGAGAACGACATCGACATCGACAACGACAACGCCAACGGCATCGAAAACAAAAACGAAAACGTAAAATATTTATTATACAAATATGAATAATTAAAAATAAATGAAACGAATATCAATCAAGTAGAACGAATTCCAGGAAAATCCAGTAGTCTGCTCGTATAAATTGCTAAAGGATGAATCTTTGGTTGGGAGAAAGGGGTTTTTTCGAGTTCCATGAATTTTTTATCCTCGGCATCATCAAATTGACGACTAGTTTCATTGGGACTCGGATTATCACAAGTATCGGATACCCACCTCCCAGTAATTTCAAATAATTCCTTTGCGGTTGGCCGTCTTTTAGTGTCGTTTTCCCAACATCTTCTCATAAGGTCAATAAAAACTTTTGGAAAATTGTTTTCACATATTTTTGGCCTTTTCCCATCTACGATTATTTCATTTGCAAGTTTTTCGTCGTGAGCAATGTCTGAAAATGGACGGATTCCAGATCCTAGCGACCACATAATCATCCCAAAGCTATAAATATCCGACGCGCTCGTATAATGTTCACCAAGTAAAACTTCAGGTGCTACGTATGGCAATACTCCATATATCTTCTTTCTATCCGATGATTCAACAATAGTATTATTTGCCCAAGTATTTAAACCAACATCAGTAATCGCAACATCAAGGAGATCACCTCTATTATCGATCAATATATTTCCACAATGAAAATTTCCGTGACATAATTTTTCTCGATGTATGCATTTCAATCCACCAGCGATCAACCAAATGATTTCAACTATGTCTCGCCAACACAATAGTCCTTCTGATTTATCAAGGAATTTATAGATATTTCCGTCTTCATAGTACTTTAATACCAAACAATAATTAGATGTATCGTCACACGTTATACCAAAAAAATCTACAATGTAATTGTTTTTTGTACATCGATGGAAATCATATAACTATAAATAAAAGTTGATGGGTGAATTTAAAACTCTGAAAATTTCAAAAAAAAAAAAATAATAATAAATTTTTTTTACTTTGTTTACGAATTCTTGACTGAGCTCTTGCGAATTATCAATTTTTTTGATAGCAACTTTAGTTGGGCCATGTCTATTATAGTACTCTAAATCACGATCCCACATAGACAAAGGACCACTCAACCAGTACGCAGAATGGATTTCACCAAAGCAACCTTTATCACGGTATTCAATAAGTTCAATATCATCCCATTTGATCCATTCCAAAAGATCATGATGAGTCGAGTTTACCTGTGTATATCTAATAAGTTCGTCAATCTTCAAATTACCACTTGACCACCTATCAAAATTTTCAATGTGATAATTATGTTGGCAATTAATACAAAAATTCAGGTTAGTCCTAGGTTTATTACATTGAGGGCAATTACCATAAAAACTACCTCTGCTTCTAATCTTCTTCATTTTTAAAAAATCAATCTTGGAAAACCTCCTTAATTTATTGGGATATAAATTTACCTTTCTAGGAGATAAGTTGTAAAGGCTAAAACATAATTTGCCTGTTTGAGTGATAAATTAGTTGCAAAGGATAAAAACACAAATTTGCCCATTTAAGCGTAAATATTTATCAGCGTAAAGACTGAAATTTTGAAACGCGTTTGAAATTTCCAAAATTTTCTTTTTTTAGGCTCTTATTATTACAATTCTTTGAACAAATTTATCTCTTTGGCGATCACTAACAGATTAATTATTGCGGGCGTATCACGTTGCACTTATTACTTTTTCCAAAATAGTAAAATTTAATTTCCGTTTTAGTAGATATTCACATGGTGAAAGAAGGCATTTATAAAACCATTGTAAAACAATTGTACATATAATCAATACTATATAATAACGCAATGTTTATTTCGCGTTGGAACATTGTAACATAAAAAACTATATAATAAAAATTGTATCAAGATACAAACATGAATTTTTTTTATTACTAAATAAAAAAAATTTTGAAAAAAATTTGTTAATAGCCAAATGAGGTAACTTTATTATAGAAGACTTAAAACAATAAAAATATAAAAAGTTTCATTCAATTTTATTATGAAAAAAAAAGTTAAAGTTATTAATATGTTAAAGATACTAAAAATCCGCACATAATAATTTGCCATGAAAATGCCATCAATTCTAATTTACAATTAAAAAACTTCTTTAAATTGTCCATTTTCCTTTTATATGGATATTCAAAAAATACTTAGAATAATCAGCTTCTAAATCAAAATCCTCTTGTAAACAATCTAAAGGTACTTTTTGCAATCGAAAGAAAGAGAGTTTTATTATAAATTTCAAAATACTTTAGTTTCTGTAAATTTACTGCAAATTGATTGGAATTGTTTTTCGAAGTTACCAATTCCACAATATCAATTACATTCCCAGTTTCACTTTCAAAGTTTGCATTTTATTCTTCATTAACATAATTCTCAATAAAATCTAGACAAAATTCATATTATTTATAAAAATAGATAATTATTCAATTGTTTTAATGTTGAATGAATGAATGGATTATATGTATATTGCGGTTATTTATTATTTATTTGTTAATTTTTTACCGATACACAGAATTAACCGGTTAAAAACAAACTTTAACTGGTTAACCGTTTTAACCACGGTTAACGGTGCCAATCTCTAGAACTCAAATGGTATTTTTTAAGTAAAAATTTTACTTAAAAATACCATTTGAGTTAATTGAAATTAAAAGTGAACAAACTTGGAGATGAGCACCAGGAAGTAAAGTAGTTGGGTGTGTAACTATACTTGCCAAATATAATCTATCGACTCTTTAAATGAGTATTCTGTTTGTGAAAAGCATTCATTACCATCAAATTATTATGACTGATAATGCTCTCGAGAAATTAAAATTAGCATTTTCAGCTCTTAGGGATCAAAAGGAATTAGACTTACATCTGATAAAAATTTCACAAAACCTTGAAGAAACAAGATCAAAAGAAGGATCAAAGAATTCAGAAAATCAATTATTTAGTGACTATTGAAGATTTTTAATCTTTTTTTTGTGAACATAAATTTTATTCAAAATATAAAAACTATATGAATATATAAAATAAAAACTTATTATATACATAATTGGATTCTTTATTATCCTGTCTATTTCCTTCTTTTATGATGGCAACTTTTACTTTTTTTTCTTGATAATTATGTGGACATTAAATTCATTAATTGACAAATATGACAATAATTGTAAATTGAATTTAAAGTAATCAGGACAATTAACAATACATGACAAAGAACTTAAAAGAAAATTTCTCTTTGTTTCCATTATACAATTAATTCACTTTATGAAAAATTTGACCACTTGAGAAATATGACTCTTGGCGAATTGAATAATTTTGTACAATGAACTCATTTACTCAGAGGAGAGCTTCCATATGTGAAGCATCTAATACCTGAAGCACCAATTACAAAAATCCATACTTTGGAAAAAATATAAGCTAGGGAAGTGGAAAATTATGCAAGAAACAGCTGGAGAGACAACAAGAGTATACAGAACCCTTAAACCTATACCCCTCTAATAACCTTAGAACTAAAATATCTTACTATACAAAAATTAAAGAAAATGTCACAAAGAATCTTGAAAGAATTAATTGAACCATAAGAATTGACAGAACTTAAGCGAGGGGAAGTGTAACAAAATAAAAATGAACTATTGATAAATCTTACTATTATTTTCTTTTTTACTATTTTATTACGAATGTTGATTGTTTGATATTTTTTGAAAAATATATTAAAGTTTCATTGTAATAACTGTGAAATATTAAACCAATATCTTATCTTCAACAAAGAAAGAAATAATGTTTACATTTGTACTTATTATTGAAACTCGAAATTAAATTTGTACAAAATAAACACTCAGCCGACCAAGAATTTATCATCAACATACTCTTTATGAATTCACTAAAATCGGTTGTTTTTATTATTTTTACAAAGTCCTTTTCTTTTCTTTAGGTTCACCTTTCTATAAATATAAATATATTCACCAGGAAGAGAGCCAACTGGTGTTGACATTTGATGTATTTAACGCTTTTTGAATATTTTGAAAAATTAAAAATGTAAATAAATTTACTTGAGTCATGTTTCTAATAAACAATTGGTCAAATATGCGTGGCGATCACAAAAAAAAATATAAACAATAATAAATGAGGGCCAAAATGTATTCTTATACAGAATTACTTATTACTATTAAAGGACAATACTCCAATTTCGGTAATTAAACAAAGGACTTTTTATATTAAAATGGTATAATATAATTATCAAATTTTGAATTTATCATAATAATAAGTTTTATTTATCATTTAAAAGGTTCTCTCGGCTGACTTTATATAGGTTTTATTAGCTGATTTTATTTAATTAAATTTTTTATATTAATATCGTGAGTTTTTTAAATCAGCCACAAAAGTTCGGTACAGTGCGACTAGTATTGGTAATATGAGAATTCTCATTTAAATGTTTGTTATTATTATATGGCTTATTTTATTAATAAATTAGTTATAACAAAATTTTTATTGAAAGACTTTTGTTCGTTGTAACGAAAATCCGTTATAACGAGGACCGTTATAACGAGAGTAAGAAAAATTTATTATTATTATTTCATCCTGGTTCCCTTCAAACCTAATCACTTTTTTTAAAACTTTATGAGGTTCTTAATAGTAAACATCGGTAGTAATTGTCTTCACCAGGATCTGAAACATTCGTATCAGCTTCAATTTGCGCATCTTCTAAAAACATTTTCAACAATTCCTCTATCACTAAGAATATCTTCAGTTGCAAGTGGTTCATCGACTGAGTAGTGTGTATTCTTCAACATGATGAACGATTATTATCATTAGTTAACAAATTATTAAATGGATTGACAAACTCATTATCATCATCCATCGTTGGATTTGTTTGTAATCTTTGGTCACCAGGAAGAATACCTGTAAATACATATTTCCTTTCTAAGTTAGTCACTAATAGGCTCTTTTTCATTATTTAATTTAATTAAAATTTTCACGCATTTGTTCTTACACAAGTTAAAACGTCTTTGAAAAAAACATGTTTTAGTTCTTGTATATGTTGTTCTTTTATAGAAAGAAGGGAAAATTATTATCAAATTGGTCTGTGACAATAAAAGGAGTTTTTTATAAACGATTTGTTCTTATACGAAGGCACGACTGTACATTCTGTGATAACAAAATGTGCATTTTTCAATTAGTTTCTTGAAACGAACGATGTCTGAGATTCTTGATTGTTGTCGTTTAATGATATCTGATTAAAGTGTTTAGAAATCAAAATATTCTGATGATCTAAAAAAATATTAATCTAACCATTTCACCCCGAAAATATGATGAAAAAATTTAGAGGGGACAAGATGGCTCCGAATTTTTACTGAACAGGTGGTTCTTTCCCTTTTTAAAAATCAAAATCCTTCCGGGTCCTATAACCTGCATGGGAGGGATAATCTTATTAAATTTGACATTTATATAGGCAGGATTAATATTATTCATTCTATTTTAAATAGATAATTAATACTTGGCGATGCAATTTATTTATTTATTAATCCTTTGTAAAAAAATTGTGTAGCCTACATTGTTTAATCAAATAAATCAATCAACAAAAAGGGCACAAATCAAAAGGTAATTTCTAATGATACTAATTTAAATTATAAGATTTCTCAAAAGTTCTTCTTCCTGTTCATTTTAGGAATTTTTTAAAAGCAGAAATGAATTACCACAGTCATGGTACAGTAAAAGTAAGTATTGGTGGTATAAGGAAATTGGTAACTTCGAAAAACAATTCCAATCAATTTGCAGTAAATTTACAGAAACTAAAGTATTTTGAAATTTATAATAGAGCTCTCTTTCTTTCGATTGCAAAAAGTACCTTTAGATTGTTTACAGGAGGATTTGATTTAGAAGCTGATCATATGCGCTGATTTTGTTTGAACCCCAAAATCCAGTACGGTGTGATCATAACGTTATGAATACTTTATATTGACGCTTTTGATCACAGCAAGTCACTCACACCCAATTTTTAGTTGTATTGAGTGATCTAAAAATGAAAACACGCCTATTTGTCTTTTTGAATTTTAATAGCAGACAAATATTCAGTTTTAAAATTCATCATAACTTTATTTCCTTTAGTATAATAATAATGAATCATGGATGATCTGTTGAACATCATCAATATTCGTCGAAACTGTGTTTATTTGTTCTTATTTGGTAGTGTTATTTAATACAAAGAAATTATTAGACATCATTAAAAAAATTATTGGAAAGAGGTTATTTTCTAAGATTACAAAAATTAAAACATTATTATTACAAATACTTGAAAACATTACATATACTTGAAAGTATACAAACGAATACTCAAAAATTTGAATATAATTCGAATGTTGTATGGGGTAACTTTGTATTTCTTCTGATTAATGTAAAATATGGTTTGTTGCACAATCAATAGTCACATAAAAGCCACAAGTGTACATTTAGAGAGAATGGTTTTATATATGTGGAGTATCTAGTTACGTGCATGTTTTTGATATTTCAAGCAAAAAACTCAAATTTGATCCAGGGTCTCTCATACCTTCTTAGTGATTACACTTCAGATGCAGATCTTTTTTGTCTCTTTCTGCTTGTCACATCCCATATAGACTGGAAAAAGACTGTGTATCAGGGGACGTGCCTTTATTTCCAAGTCACAAGCTTTGGGAATGAGGAGAGTGCATGAGATTGCCAATTTGTGATGAAACTATGACAGGGGCCAAGATATAACTATTTTTTTTCTTTTCACACCCTCATAATCACCCATACCACACACATCCTTTTCAACAAACATCTTTATTCTTTTTTGTTCAGAAATAAAATAATTTTAATAATTTTCATGATTTACTCTTGCACCAACATCATTCAACTTTGAAAATAATAAGTCATTTTCTCCAATAACGTAAGTCAATATAGTTTTTTGATAATACTCATCTGAAAACAATTCTAAGTTAGTTATGATATCATCTAATAAATATGCCTTGCCAATTGCTATACCATCTGGGATAGTGTCACTGCTAAGGTGTGTTATATGAATGTGGAAATGATCTATATTAAAAATATTTATAATTAGGATTGGACATAGCTATATATATGTAATATAAAGGCTCAATCACTTACAATAGGAAGGCAGGTAGTGTACAAACAATCTTAATTCATCTGCACCAACTCCCACAAACTTTTTTGGCACAAATTCCAAAATTTTTTTTCTTAAATTTTTTAACAATGGTATATGTGATTTGTTCAAATCTCGAAGTGAATGAATATCATTTCGATGAACAATTGCAACCAAATAAAGTGATTCTAAAGTTTTGTTATCCCATTTCCTACATTATCATCATAACAGATAATAATAATAATAATAATAATACATAAATAAGAATTAACAAATTAGCATTAACTATTATTATTGTCAATATTTTTTTTTTTTCATCTTCATCTTACATATCAGGTAGCAAAACAAATCCAATTTGATAATTTGGATCTTCCATCAAAATTTTTTCAGCCTCACTCTTTTTTTGCAAAATATTATAAACCCATTGTATTCTGCTTGATGGTATAGAATCTATATATGGCTCTATAATATTTTTGTATATTTGAGGAGTTTCATGTATTAAATAGCGTTTCTGATGACTATATTTTTTTATGTGCTAAATGATAAATAATCAATGCATTCTCTTATTTAATAATTAATTAATTCTATTTATTCTCTCGATCATAATATTTAATATTTAATTAAACTTACAGTTTCTGTTGCAGGCCAAATTAGTGTCATATTAATATCTGGCAATTTTTCATCTTTATTCAATAAACCATCATACCAGTGATAAATATCATTTTTATCTTTTAACATCCAATCATTGATTCGTTGGCTAGTAAAGTTAGATAATTCCTTATTATCAAAATGTGATTTTTCAACTAATAAAATCGCATGATGCTTTTGTAAAGTTGGATCATCTGATGATGATGATGGCGGTGTAGACAAATAACCTAATAGATTAATTTTTTTTGTACGAGTGTCTTTTATAAAAGATGACCATTTAATGATATATATACATTGATTTATAGATATATATAGATAAAAAAATAGAATAAATACCTTCACTTAAAACTTTGATAAATTCAAACCTTTTTAATTCCTCAAAAGTTGGCGGCTTAGTTTGTTCTTTAGTTTCTGACATATTTATTGATTGTTACTCGAATTCAACGAATATAGGTCATTCATCATATGTTACACTAAATATTTCTATAATAATCGGCCAACCAACAAGAATGTTTAATATTTGTATCTATGATACATTATTGTTTATCTTCAAAAAATAAAATGGATGAAGAAACCAGGTGATGCTTTTGTAAGTAATAAGGTTATAGCTAGAATAAAGTCAATCATCAATAATTTAATAATTTAATAATTTAAATAGTTATTATTGAACTCTGGAGAAAAAGGCTTTCTAGACTGGAATAATGGCAGCATTTTGTAAGGTCGCACTCAATGAATAATATTCAGTGAATATTCAGTGAACATTTCATTGATTGATTGACCAAATATTAATATGATAAATAAAAATGAATATTCAATGAATAACTGATAATCAATATAAAATTTTCTCGCGAATAATTCTCATTTAATTCATCTAATTAATTAAATTTAAAATGGAAAAAGAGCCTCAGTCACTATAATAGGAGAAAGTAATAATAATTAATGAGAAGGGAGGAGTCCTCTACTGCTCATTATTTTTGAAGAAAAGAGTAGTTTTAAGAAGTCAAGTTGGATATGGAACTTGATGGAAGAAACTGAAATTGTAAAAGATGGAGAAAAATCTAAAGGAGCTTATTGTCAAGTCAATGTCTCTGAAGTTTCTGTTATTGTAATATGTTTTAGTATGTGGTGGTGAACCTACAGTTAATTATATTACACACTTATATGATGACCTCAAAAAGAACAAAACTTAATCCACTTTTATTTGAAAAGATTGTTTTTTGAAAAAAAAAAATATTGACAATCTTGAATGTAAAATGATTAAATAAATTTTAAATTTTTTTGTTAACAATGAATATTCACTGAATAATCAATGAATAATCATTCTCACTGATTAATTAATTTACTGGTTTAATGAATATTTGTATATTTTAATTGAACGAATATAAAATGAATGAATATGAAGTGGTTACAATTTGCTTTTGGGAATAAAAAAAAAGGATTTCTTCAAGAATAATTTCAACCAACATATAAAAGGGGTTCTTAAAATAGTATATAAGATATGCTTCTTTTGGATCCATAGTGCGTGTCACCCAAAATAATTGGTCTTCTTTAAAATTGACATTTTCATGTAACTTGAAAAAAACAACAACATAAATTGATTGTTCTAGTTAAAAGCTATCAAGCTATGTTGGAATTTTTTAAATAAGTTCAATGCAACAAGAATCATGTCAGTTAAAGTTTGAAAAATGACTGCCCCCTAGTAAACTAATAAGTTCACTATGAAACCACCTTTCACTGTTACTTACTAAATCAGGCCCTGTAAAGGTGTTAAGATTTAACACCTGATATTCAAATGTAGATAAAAGCAAATGGTTATTACCAATTATAATAATCTAAAAGGAAATCACATGATGCAGTTGCATATTCTATACCCTCAGAACCATTTGATAAATTGTTTGTATCTCTATTTAGACTATCTATTTAGACTATAGAGGAGTTGTTAGTAGGATTTTTATTGTATTTCTTTTTTAGTAATATTTAAAGAGATTTCTAATTTAATCATTTCTTCACATCTGGGTTTCCAAATGCGCTCCATGATTTTTAAATATATATTGTTCATAATGATAGGTGTAATTTGGGTAGTGATTTTTGAGTTTATGGCATAAAAAATTATCTATCATGAAAATTCAAAGTGCACAAAAAATAGTCAAACTCTATTTTTGTCACGTGTTATTTGCGGATTTGCAAAATTTATTGTCGATGATTCAAGCTTTCAAAACTTATTGGCTAGTTTTTCCTTAAACTAAAAATTGACAAAGTCTCAACATTTTTTTTTGAAAATTCCCAAATTCCCAAATTACATACATGTACTAAAAAAGTATAGAACTCTACAAACATTCCAATTACCCCGAATTTTAAATTAATATTAATATGGGGTGTAGGAAACAGTTACGCCGTAACACACGCACACGCATATAAATACATACCATTACATTATTTTTTAAAATTTTTTTTTTTTGAAATTCTCACACTAATTAATTTAAAAAAAAAAAATTAGGGAAAATGAGTAAAAGAACAGCAACCCAAAATTCATCTGAAGAAATTTCAAATTCACCAGCAACAAAAAATAATCATGAATTTAAGTTTTCGTTGGATTCGTTGTCAGCAACAACAAAAACAACGCCAGCTTCGTGTCCAACGAATCTACATTTTGTTTCACAGAATGAGCTTGGAAAACTTCTTAAACTTAAAACTGCCAATAATAATATCAATAATGTAACTTTCGAGAATGCTACTACATCTTTAGCTGAAAATGATTCAACACCACACCCGACAATAACACAATTACCCTCACAACCATATCTTCGTAAGATTGCTAGACCTGTACCACCCTCATTGAACACTAACATCAATCAATTAATATTAGCAAATGTTTCTGGAATTAGTGATAATAATTGCAATATCGGTTGTAATAATAATCTTTCTAATTCTTTATTCGATAGTCCTGATGATGCGGTTGTATCAGGTCATCGTCGTAGGGATAGCAATGTTTCAGCAATGTCTGTTCAATTATATGACATAGGGTCAGGTCATCGTCGTAGAGATAGTAATGTTTCAAATATATCGATGCAACTTGACACACCAACTCCATCTAGTGGAACTGAATCTGGTAATGAAGAAGAATCCAAGTTTGCCTTTTTCCCATTTGTACAAAAATTATTTACATCAACCTCAAGGCCAAATACACCTACAACTCCTCCACCTTGCACCATAAAGACAACCAATTCTCCATTTATTACTACAAATCCTCATCAACGCATAAGAAGAATGAGTTTAGATAGTTCTAACAGTGGAACACATGTCTCGAGTGACCAGAAAACTGATAAACAATCGCCAATACACCGCGCTGTTCGTTCTAGAAGAGCATCACTTTTAGTAAGTGTTCTTATATTATTAAAAAAAAATTTATTTTATAGAAAAAAATCATATTAAATATATTAAATAAACATTAGCCAAAATCAAAATCTTTTCAACGCGTTGTTAATGAACTACAAGAAGAGGCCCGACCAATTGAAACTGAAATAAAGCAGGAATACAAGACTACTAAAGTACTCAAAAATGAGCACGATGTTTCTATGGATCATGCAAAATTACCCGAGGTTTTATTTTCTTTTTCAAAATTTTCAAAAGGACTTTTTTCCGACAAATTTTTTTTTAAATTACAATAAAATTTTTAGGAATTTTTAGTAAATTGGATTAAATTCCGAGATATTCAACCTTCTCCACCACCTTATGCATCTTCTAAATTGAATCCTGAAATTGATATATTAGTATGTTTGTTGCTGATTTAATATTTCATTTAAATGAATCAAGTTGATTTTTTGTTTTATTTTAAAAAAATAAAAGTTTCGTCAGGATACACCTTCTCCTACATCCTTGGCTGGACCATGGTCTGTATCTGGCCGCTCTAAACGAAAAGGTAAAATACAAGCATTTTATTTGTCACTTTTAAATATTGCTTTTAATATAAAATTAAAAAATTTTTATCTATTAATAAAATTTTAATAGCTTCAGATGATAGATTTGAACCATATTTTAATCCTAAAAGACGTGCAGTATCACCAAGTTTAGTTGGTAACTTACCAATTGCAACAATTGTACCATCTCCAGCAAATAACACAAATAATAGCAACAGAATTAGCAATAGCAATATTAATACCAATCCTAATGTGGTTGGTTTATTGTCGTCTTCAGGGTTAACAGCAAAGGGAAATCTAAGAGGGAATAGTAATTTAGTGAATATACATGATGCCAATGGAAGTTTTAGTCGATTAAATTTAAATAGTGAGTAAGTGGTTAAATTTGAAATCAAATTTAGTTTCAAAAGTAAAAAAAATTTTTATTAAAAATTATAATGATTAATTAAAAATTAAATTAAATTAAATAAAAATTATAATAATGATATAGATAATGAAAAAGAATAAATAGATAGACAGATACGTGGAAACTTGATCGTAAATTATTAATAGTCTGATTACTTTTACCTTAAATGAATCACCATTGGATTCACTTGGTAACTTGCAGATTTTATTACCACTCATTATATTATTATTAATCTACCATCAACACCGTCAAAATTCTCTATATCATTTACCAACAAAGTTCGTAAAACCTTGCAATGCATTTCTCAGTTCTTCATTATCACATTCACCTATTAAACTTTCTACGTCATCCTGTTGACATTTGGGGGAAATGAACCATACTCGATTTAAAACAAGATCTGCATTTTGAAACTTTAAAGAAAAAAAATTTCGGAATTACCATATAACCAAAAAAATTTCTACACGGAGAATTGCATCTAATGGTGTTATTAATTCAAAACTGCATTTTTGTTTTGTTTTCATTGAAAAGGATCCATTTTGGCACATTCTTCATCCATTTGTGGATAATAATCAGCTAAATTGATAATCTCATCGCTTTCATCATTAATCATTATAAACTGCGCGAGTTGATAACATTTTATTGTGGAAGTAATGGAAATAACAGATGATAATGAGTTCGTTGAAAATGAAGATTTGGGAGTTTGTGAAGAAAGAACTTCAGATTTCAGTTTTTTGTGTTTTCTTTATAATATGAATGGAAATCAATAAAAGTTATAATCCCTCACAACTACACACAGGTCGAGTTAAATGAAATTGGGAAATAATAAATGCAAGTTTTCAAAAATAAACAAATATGAATCAGAATAAAAAGAGTGAGCCTACCAGGTGCTTATGGCAGGATTAATTAATGATCAAATTTTACTCATCAGTAAAACTATAAATATATAAAATAATAATTTGTCTTTCAACTAAATATCCGCATTTTATATCCAAGAAAATAAATAGCATTAATATTATACAAATTTGAGATCATTCATTACATACTAATACATCAAGTGTGCCTCTTACCGGCCCCCTTTTTAGTATATATAATAATAATAATAATAATAATTACAAGGTAGTCATTTTTCTATCTAATCAAATAAAGAACGGGGTTTTGGATGTAGTTCCTAACCACGCGACACAACGAACAAGTGAAAATTAACCAATCTAAAGGGATTTCACACCCAAATACTGAACTTTTTAACACAATAAATATTCTATATCATTGAAATTGAAATCTACAATTATGTAAAATATGGAGCGACTAAGTGACTTTGATGTTAATTTTATAATGACAATAAAAATGATTTCATTCAACGTATAATTTGAGAGTTGAATATGTTGAATATAAAAAAAATTTTGTATGTTATATATGTGAATGGTATGCATAACGAACGATTCAATTTATATTAAGAATTCTCTACCTACGATTATAAATTAATGTATATACACACACATATAACATAATGATTTTGATTTCTTATTACCACCATAACATAATGGAATCGCCATTTTCCATACCCAACTAATTATTTAGGAAAAGAAGATATAATATTCCAATAAATAATGAAATAATCGATTCTTTAAGAAAGATTCAAATACATACATCTGCAGGCGTATTATGGCTTTGTATACGATCACCATCATAAAGAAACCTAAGTGACAATGAAGATTTTCCTTGTATATCACAATGAGCATCCATAAGTTTTTTTAATTGTGTTGTTCTTTTAATCCTGAAAAATACTTCATTATGATCCGATAATGATAAAAAAAGCAATTTATAATTAGCATGCAATATAATCAAATATAAAATAATAGACGCTAATACACATCATTTTTAATGAGCTTATCTTTTTACTCGTGTTCTTATTCATAACTCTTTTAGCTTAGCATAGCATATACACCAAAGGTAACTTACGCTTCCAACAACTTTGATATTAATATGTTCGTCAATTTGTTTGATGTCACTATCATTATTATTTTATTTTTTATCATTGTTGTTGTTATTTTTTCCTCAGTAGGTGGTTGAGTTGAGCGAAGCTGTTGTTGTTCTGACATGTATGATAATTTTTATTATCTTCAATGGATTCCTTATAACAATTTAACAAATATTGAAAAGATAGGTGAAGGTGGATTTGCAACTATATCCAAAGCTACTTGATTAAATGGTTCAAAATATACAAATAGTGGTGATGAAAGAACTATTGAAGATAGGACTGTGGCATTAAAAAAACTACATGTTTGTTATTTATAATTTCAATATACAAAAAAAGGGATTTTACTATTACTATTACACGAAACTAATCGCGTATCAGGCAGGGAGGTGCCATAAATCTCATGATTAAGAGCTCGGAACCTAATAAATTTTGTATGGCCTTTAAAAGCATTACTTTCTGCCTGTTATTGCATAGAACAGGTTTCCCTAGAGACTAAAATGATGTATATATTAATGTATACATACACTCACTGGATGGAGTTTCTCTACCTAATTTCACATATAGTATGAGTGGTCTAAAGACCTCCCACCTTTTAAAAAAATAGCTTTGTTAGTGGAATCTAGCTTTAATGTAATGGAGAGATTTTGTTGTTAAATTGCTTCCATCTATGAATCGGTTGATGAAGATATCATTTTATTAACAACATCTTTTGTTTTCCATTTTGAAAAATAAATTCACTAGGAAACTTATAAAAAAAGTAAACCGTTAAAGTCGAGGCCTAAAGTCTTAGGTGCACGCAATTTTGCAGTTTGCATTTTTGATTATTATTGAAGTTATTTATTAGTGGGTATTTCTATATATATTAATAATGACGATAACCAATAAATATTTTCGAAGCCATTTATTATTCCAAAGGCAACTCTTTTAAAATTATCCAGAATTCAAATTATTTCATATTGGTATATATTTCGGACCGAGTCAAACCAAAGATTCGAGTGAAACGAATCAAAAATTAGATGTTTCGAATTTCATTGATTCGCTCGGAGCCTTAGTTTTCAACACTTGGTATCAGATATTAAACCCATTTTAGGAATTTATTTTAAGAAACTACCAGGCACACAGGAATTTCAACATTTTCTTTTGAAGCGTCCGATCCTAATGTTGTCAAAACTCGAGAGGTTGCCAACGGGCTTTGACCGAATTCAATCTATTGAAAACTAGGAAAGCAGACATCTCTGAAGTTAAAGCTTTATTTATTTAACGTCCCTCCTTTGGAGTACAAGAGGCAAGGATACATATACGAGTTATTGCATGCGGAACATGCAATAATGGAAATTTTAGCATGTCATTTCATAGGCAGACATACAATACAAAATTTTATGAACGTATCAGAACTTTTCTCTTGTTAATTATCATTAATAGTTATACTCCAAAATTCAGATTCAACTTGCCACAGATTTTCTTTCGACTGTACCATCAGGAGAGGATACATATCTTTGACTAGGAGACAACTATTCATATTTTTTTTTACGTTGGAGCAATTTCTTTGGCTGTTAATTTGGATGTACCAGTTGTAACTTTGGTGAATGATCATTCTGACCTTGAATCTCAAAATTCTATGATACAGATAAAAATGAAGCTTAAGTCTTAAGCTTTGATTCTATTATTCTGCTTTTTCTTTAACTCTCTCAGCTCAACTTTCAAAGATTATTAGATTAATATTTTCCTTCCATTCCAACTATATTGATCAATTAAGGATGAACTTCTACTTGGAATGTTCAAATTTAAATGATTCACCATCAATACTAATAATATAAATAACCAATATGATTTTTAATCTAAAAGCTTTAACTTTACAACATTCAACCTGTAATTTTAACATATAATCGATTTGATGAATGTGTGTTTAAAAACAACGAATTAAATAAATACTTATATATTTTCATTTTGATAATCTACGCCTTTAATCAAAATGTCCACACTAAAAAGAACATCAGGAGCATTTTTCTTGTTGACAACATCTCATTTTATAAACATTAAATTTAATAGACCATCACCAGATAAAGCCAAAGGGAACTTTACTAGCAAAAATGACATAAATAAATCATCTCTGATTATTTTCCAATATTTAGGTGTTTCATTATTACACTTCCATATTTTATCAACTATGATGATGATAGCTGCAGTGTTGGTGGTGGTAATTTATAAGAATTTTGATGATTTGATTATCTGCTTTGTCTTTCCTGCAATTTTAATAGTGAATTCACACTTTATATCTACAGCCTTGTAGAATTATTTGCGTCGAATCAACAAAGATTGCTCATCCATCTATTAATATGCTAATATTGTTCAAGTATTTTTTTTTAAAAATCTTTCCAAATAATAATATATATACCATATTTATTTTGATTAAAAAAAAAGCCACAATGTCTCATATTTTCGGTTCCTAAATTGCAATCTTCAACTATTCCGAACATCTTTTTTACCCAACTGAACAAACATCAATGTTTCATTATCTGCCAAATAATAAATAGTAGATAATAGATATATTATATACACGAAACAAATTTAATTGTTAATAATTTTATTAAAAGATTTATTACCTTTAATAACAATAAGAGCAGAATATGCAGAATCTAAACCTAACGATTCATCATGTTAAAGCATTACCATTGCCTTCAATAAATAGATACCAGGACTTACACCAATAGGAATATCTCTTTTATAATTTTTACATCCCAAAAGATCGTTAATAGCTTCGTAAACAGTTCCATTAACACTTGCAGTAGCATCATATGATCCTAATTCAAGTTTTTGAATAGTTTCATAGTTTTTTAAACCACTGAAAGGATTCACAAAACTTAAAATGGTTTGATTTTTTAATATATTAATTACAAGCATTATTTTCTTAAAAGGTATATATTGTTATTGTTGTTTATCTGATAGCACCATCAATAGTATCAGACCATGATTTTATAATTGTGTGGAATCTTCTTCTGGTTCAAAAATAAAATTTCAATTAATAATGATTTTGTTTTTTGTAATCAAGGCTTTGATGGTAATGCGAGGCTTTTCATCCAAAAATAAATCAAGAATGGATAGATAAACAATCATTATTCTCCAAGAAAATATCCAATCTAAAAACTAAAATATTAAAATAATAATATAAATAATATAAATAAAGAATTATCTTGCCAGTTTTAATTTTCTTTCCAAAATGAAATTATTATTTTGGTAAAATATTTTAAAAAAGGAATAAAAAAAAAACAATGATTTATTATTGTTAGTTTTACAAACAAAAAAATAAATAAACATATAAATAAAATTATAATTGAATAAGTAAAAAATATTTTTTTTAATTTTATCCAAATTTTTAAAAATTTTATTTATTAGATAATATGTTTATGTATATTTATATATTTAAAGGCTATATTAACAAATTGCTAAATTAACAGCTAGAAAATAAAACTAATCATTGTAAAAAAAAAAAACAAAAATAAAAGGATAAAAACCCCTAATGATAATAATAATAGTTAAAAAGGGTATCACAAGTAATAAAATCATTCATGCAAAAAACCATAATATTTATAACGAATCATTTAGCACTTGTGTATTTTGTCACAGCTTTGGTTCCTTCAGACACTGCATGTTTTGCCAATTCACCCGGAAGAATAAGTCTTACAGCCGTTTGAATCTCACGAGACGAAATGGTTGATCTTTTGTTGTAAGCTGCGAGTTTTGACGCTTCACCAGCTATTCGTTCAAAGATATCATTTACAAAAGAATTCATGATTGACATGGCCTTATTTGAAATACCAGTATCTGGATGCACTTGTTTTAAAACTTTATAAATATAGCTAGAATATGTTTCTTTTCTAGCTTTTCGTTTTTTAACTTTATTCTCAGTACTAGTTGCCGTTGCTGCTGCCTTCTTTTTTTCGCCTGATGCTGCTGCTGCTGATGCGGCTGGTCCTTTTGAAGCTGGTGCTTTGCCACCACTAGTTGCTGGTTTTTTTTCTGCTGCTTTTGGAGGCATTTTTTGATATTAAATTTTTTTTATTTATACTTGAAATTTTACTTGAAATTTTACTTGAAAGAAATAATTTAAAATATTTGAAATTATTATTATTATTATTATTATAAAGTCTTGATATATAATAAAAATAAAAAAAATGAAATGAATACCTTTTATCTTTTATTTTTATTTTTTGGAAAAAGTTTGGGAAAAATTAATCACACAAATCATAACCCTTTTTTATTTTTTATATATATATATACATAAATTATAAATTACACAAAAATAAAATAATATATTAATATATTAGTTGGCTCGAAAATTTTAGTCGCTTTCTGTCCTACTTTAAAAAAATAATAGCTCTATTAGATTAAGACTAGAGAGACCTATTCTATTAACTAATAGAGATATTTTCTCAAAAAAAAAAAAAAAAAGAGTACGTAGGTTCTTTCTATTCTTTCTTTGTACATTAACATGTATTTTACTATGTTCACGAGTGTTAGGATCATTACTAAATTTAGACGATCATTATTAAATTTTTTGGGTAGCAAGATCAATGGGCCTTTTTTATTTATACCGTCATCATAATAATAAATTAATTGCAAAATCCCTTATAAGAAGTAAAAAACATCATTTTTTTAAGACTTCACCACAATGCATCAATCTCTCCTGGTTAACATTTCTTTAGCTGTCCCTCTATTTTGGCGGGTGTTTAGTTAGATTGATGGCGTAATTAATTGGTTTCTATTACTATTACTAATATTAATATTAGAATTTTAATAGTTATTTATTTAACTGTAAATATAAATTTTCAAGGTTTGATATTTTTTTTATTTTTTTTTTACGATGAGGCCACATAACAATTTTTATTCTCTATATAACGAACCATTTGGGTTAGTATCAGTATTAGTATTAATTAGGACAAAATGTCCTTTACAGAGAGGATCCGCTATAGACAATAATAATTTATATGTGGGACATATAAAATTGGGCTTAAACTCCAGTCTGTTATAGAGCAAGATCCGTGAGAGAAGTGAACTACATGAGTCACACGAGAAAAATAGAATTTCATCACGGAACTAACTTTTCACCGTTACCTACTAAACCAGGCCCAAAAGGGATTAAGATTTAATGCTTGGTATTCAAACATAGGTAAAATAAAAGGTTATAAAATCCACATGATGCAATTGCATATTCCAAACCATTTGATAAATTGTTTTATCTTTAATGAAACTATAGAATTATAATTATGTTGCTTTTTAATTTTCTTTCTTATATAGTAGTGTTTTAGGGGATTTTCTAATTGGAACACTTATTCACATCTGGTTTTCCAAATATGTTTCATATAAGCCCAATCATTTTTTTTTTAACATGTCCTAGCATTTCATTGCAAAGTAGGGTTTCTATTTGAATAAGGTTCACTCAAATGATTCAAATGATTCATGATTGATTTTGAGCATTCGAATCACATTAAATGATTATTCAAACCAAATGAATTCCTTGTGTAGCAAATTTAAAGTTTCACTCAGAAGTTAATGATTTAGATGAATATGATAGTTACAATGATGATTTTGGAAATGATTCAGAATCTAATAAAAAAGAAAAGTCGAAAAAAAAGGAAAAAACAATCAAGTCATATCAGCAAGGCTTCTATTTGAATAAAACAAACCCAAGTCCAAAATTGTACTATTACTATCACTATTACAAAGCAGTCTTTGTAGGGCAAGCAATTCTAAAAAAAAATCTCATGCAAAACATTTTGATCTTTGTTGAATAAATTGAACAAGAACAGAGTATATGGACATTCAATATGATATAGTATAACCCTCATAGATTGTATTGTATAAATGTTAATAAAATGGTTATATATCATACCACACCAATGCTTAAATCCAACATAAAGGATTCAGTATAAAATTCTGTGTGATTAGTATGGCAATACAATACCATCTACAAGGGTTATTACCTACTGAATCTCTCCTTACTGACAAGGACACTACATCCTCCACTTTCATAATGAAAATACCAATAATGATAATAATTGCAGTAAATATGTTTGCTATTTTTTTAAAAATATACAAAAGGCTACTTAAAAATTTTATTAATTTTTGATAAATAAATAAATATTCATTAAACTTCTTCACTTTTTTTTGACTCTTTTTTTAATTCTTTTTTTAATTCTTTTTTTAAATTCTTTTTTGAATCCTTTTTTGAGTCCTTTTTTGAGTCCCTTTTTGAGTCCCTTTTTGAATTGTTGTCCAAGTCTTTTTTTGGATCCTCTTTTAAAGAAACAATTTTATTAAACATATAACTATTCTTCTCGCCATCATCATCATGAACTAATTCAGAATCTTTATCAAGACAAAAATAACCAACACGGATAGCTTGAAATCGAACATTCTCATAATTTTTTTTAGAGTAGTCAAATGATGATAGTGATGATCTGGTAATAATTTCTTTTAATCCAACTTCTGCTAATGAATTAGTAGCAATTTCTAAGCTATTTGGATTTATGTCTGCCAAGAAACCATTTGGATTCCCATCTGGATTTTCTGATATGAATAAATTATTATATATTCGAACTTCTGATAATCGAATTGGAGATTGATGATTTTTATTAGTGGTAGTTGTGATGGTAGTAGGTGTTTCTGCTACCCAATGGATATATGTTTTAGGTTTTTTAACTGTAACTGGAGTTACATTCTCATACCAACATATCAAATGTTCTATATTTCCATTTGTGTCTTTTTTTAATCCTGTGCATGTGATCCAATGTGGAACATGTAATAAGCCTACTGTTTTACCAATTGCAAGACGATAATAATCTGGTGAATCTTCTTCTCTAAAATCATCTTTTTCAATATAAATTACTTTGCTAAATGGTACTACATGCTAAAAAAATTATTTATTTATTTGTTATTAATATATCATCCATCATGTGTATGTTGAAAATTTTTTTTTGTAATAATAAAGATTCTCTCTATATATGAAATAGTTACCTCTCCCATAGATGTATCTCTTGGTTTGAAAGGAACAATCAACTCTTCGACATAATCATCAGGTAGATTTTCAATTATTACTTTAATAGGATCTATAATGACCATTAATCTTGGAACATTGACATCTAAATAATTACGAATATATTTTTCAAAACGTGATACTTGAATTGTTGAATTTGATGTAGTCACACCAAGTTCTAAAACAAATTGATTAATAGCTTCTGGTGGGACACCACGTCTTCTTAAAGCTGGTAGTGTATATAGCCGTGGATCATCCCAACCTTTTACATATTTTTCATTAACTAGTCTTGCTATTTTTCGTTTTGATAAAACTGTATTATTAATATTCAATCTACCAATCAATCAGTCAACCAACCAACCAACTCAATTAATATATATATAATAGGTGTATAATATTTTTTAAAAAATTAATAAAATAATGATAATTAACCTGTTATACTCAAATTGAACAGGCTTATATACTTCAAGAGCATCACATAGCCAATAATAAGATTCACGAGCTGTCCGGAATTCAAGTGTACAAAGTGAATGTGTAATATTTTCAAAAGAGTCACAAAGACAATGTGTGAAATCATAAGTTGGATAAATACACCATTTGGTTCCAGTTCTATAATGTGGTGTGTGCAAAACACAATATGCAACCAAATCCCAAAATTGTGGATTTCCACTTTGCATGTCCATCTTCATACAAATGGTTACCTCTTCTTCCTTGTACTTTCCCTCCTTCATTTTTTGAAATTCAGCTAGTGATTCTTCAATTGGACAATTACAATGCACACACTCTTTATGTTCTGCATAATCATCACCACCTCACATCTGTTTCATTTTATTAGATGTACATGAACATGCATATTCTTTATCACACTTAATTAATTCTATTGCCAATTCATAAAAGTTGTCAAAATAATCAGAAGAATATGTGATCTTGTATGGTGAAAACCCTAACCATTCTATTGCCTCTCTAATAGAAGTAAAATAAATCTCTTCCTCAACTCTTATTAGATAAAACAATACATTAATATAAAATATATATGTGCATGTGCATTAAAATTTCTTTCTGATTAATCGATTGATTGATTTAAAAGTGTAAACAGGATTTTTACCTTCAGGGTTAGTGTCATCATATCTATTGGTGTTAATTTGTTATATAATAAGAGCAATATCATTGATAAGTTAATCATTTTAGTTTAATGTTATTGATTCAAACCTCAGATAACATATCCCATCATATGCTTTAGCATATCCAAAATTTACATTGATAGCTTTTACATGACCAACATGTAAAAATCCATTAGGTTCTGGAGGAAATCAAGTTACCACCTTACCACCAACTTCTTTCAAATGTTGTTCCATTAACTCAGGTTTAATTTGTGGATTACCACCTGGTTTATGAAGTTTTGCAAGATCTCCCTTGGTAAAGATGATAGGGACTGTATTGGTTTTTGATTTTACTTCTGATTGGCTCATTTTTTAAATTTTTGATTATTTTTATTTTTTTAAAATTTTATTTTTATGATTTATTTGTCAATTATAATAATATTAGCATTTGTTTGTAATAATAGAAATATCACAATGCAACATAAATTCGGTTTGAAGAACCAGATTATTAAAAACTTTATCATATAACTATAGTTGGCTTTGAAAACACAAATGGGAAAACTACGTGGTATGGCTGAAAAGTAATGAGAATCATTGTATTACTCAATAATATGTGGGTATACCTAAACAAAGTTATGATTTA